CAGCGAAATCATATAGATAGCCCACTTATTGAAGAAACCGGCATGGCAGGAGAAGATTGGCGTAAAAAACGAATACATAAAGTTGGAAATAAGAAGATAAAAAGAACTGAAAACAAGCGTCAAGCTAAAATACTCGCCAAAGAAATCGAATCGGAAGATAGTTTATCTTAAGAGGAGGACGGTGACTGGGCCTGCATCTATTGTGGTTACTTATACTAAGAGTCAACCGAGGGTTGGGCTATCTGCAGTATTTGCCATGGTTGGGCACACGATTCCTGTGCCGGAGTAGATGAAGAAGACGACGAGGCACACATTTGTGAACGCTGTCTGCCCGATTAAAATACGTACTCCTTTTGCCCCGTAGCATTTCCCATCTTACCCCATCCATGGGGCAAGACGGGAAATTCGCCTCATTATCGTTAATCATTATTTGTCAAAAAACTTCTATAATTTTCCTTGATAAAATTATTAATTTTAAGAGACAAATGTATAAGTGTTACTTATTTTCTTAAAGCATTTAATTAAAGAGTATAATTGTCTTTGTACAGCGAGTTTTGTCTTAGCTATCTCATCTTGCCCCGGTCTCCCCTATTATTGAATATTGACGACGGTCACTGGTTTTAATGACACGTATATTCAATGTAGTCACTTAATGTGATAGGAAGTTATAAGTTTTATCACTTTTTTAGTGTCGTGACAAAAAAAAAATCAGTCAATTGTAACGATTGGATTGTTACGTAGGCTTATTGCGTAAAGTATTTTAATGTATTCATAGTTCATATGGGCCGATAAACGATAGCATACCTGAGATATTTTGTTGAAAAACCACTATAAAAGTCATTCAAAAAAATTCATATCCAACAGTTCGTATTTGCAAGCTAGGCATCTGCCAAATCGAAGTTATTAAATCAAATGTAAGTACTAGTTTATTATTTTTATTATTTAAGTTTATCTTCTCAGAAGAATTAATGAATATGAACTGCAAATGTGTTGAGAATTTTCTCGTTACATATTATTTCAATCTAAACGATCTTCATGATTATAATGTTTCCTTATGTTAATCAGAAGATCCTCGAGCTACTTTCTACTCATTCACCCCGTTCACACCATTAAGAATTTCATTATATGTATGTCGGCACACTTCAGGGATGGCTGAGCGGTAGTTTCGTCATCACTCGTATTCGATTGAACTCAGTTTAGTTAATAAAACTTTTTGAATAACAATTATTGAAACTCAACACACACAACTTTCACAATGACAGGATAAACCGACAGTTTCGTTGCACATACCGACAGACCGACTGACTGAGACGGACGGAATGACTGTCTGACANCCAGTAATTACGCAAATTATAATTTTGCGGGTTTCATTTTTATTACACGATGTTATTCCTTCACCGTGGAAATCAATCGTGAACATTTGTTGAGTACGTATTTCATTAGAAAAATTGGTACCCGCCTGCGGGATTTGAACACCGGTGCATCGCTTCAACACGAATGCACCGGACGTCTTATCCGTTAGGCCACGACGACTTGTCCGTGTGTGTGAAACGTTTGACAATTAAAACAAAAATGGCTTGAGGTTTGACGATATTCATGAAATATTATTACTACGATAATTACCTACTTAAAGGAGGACACGCTGAATTATCCCATCTAGATAATTCACAGGATTCACTAAAAAATACGTTTCAAAGTTGTTCATGACGATGGTGAAGAAGAAACCACGCATGACAGAATTATGATAGTTTTATTTAATTACTTTTAAAATACATTATTTTACAAATGTGTTGACGCGTGTCACGCTGCTGGTCGACCAACACGAATCTTAGGCCGCGGGCGCATCTTCCTCCCGCTGCCTTCCCCCGTCCCCTCTCTCGCCCTGAACGTCGTGAACAAAGTGTCATTCTTAACACAGATACTGTCAGATCTTGGCATTAATTCTACTCGTTTGAAAGGAGTTCTCAGTGTTAAGCTGTGACTTGGCCATGTTAGTATATAGCCAATTAGCGAACGTACTTCGAAGGATCAGAGATTATAAACTGTTTCCTCATTGTACACGATATAATTTAAAACAAATTTGCACGCGTGCCCAAATACGCGTGGCCGTGCTGCAGTTATCTGTCTGCTTCCTATGCTGTAAATTGCGCGTATGGGTTCCTGCTTTTGCCTGGACCCAGCAAATCAACAGTGTTTTTTTTTTATCTACGTCATGTTCATAATTTAATGACATTTCTTTAAAATCGGTACAAATTCATTTAGAAGCAAAAATTGAAGAAGTTTTCATCCAGCATCGAGATGAACAGACTAATATCGAAGTTTGTCGGAGAGTGCTAGATGCTGGTCGCTTCGCTCTAGTTTTCTTTATCAACGTCCGCAGAAGGGCAGCTCACGGTCCGCCTTGTGTTAAGTGGCTTAAACTGGATAACACGCAACGCTTCAACTCAGAAATGAAAAGTCGAATCAGTTTTCGTGCCCTAACACGTTCTACCCATTTCAAGAAATTCTAATGAACGTCTTGCGGCTGAGATTTTTTATTCCTAATGACTGATAGAACACGATCCACCTGCTCTCGAAAGGTTACCGGGAAACGCAGACACGCCTTGATTACTTGGAATAAAATAAACCTTCCTTTTAAACGCGGGTTTAAAATTGAAGCGCGGTATAAATTGGCGGTACTAATGCCATCCAAAAAAAACTTAGAATACAAATAATCTTGTGATAAGGATCAAAACTGCAACCCATACACCACCACTCCTCAGTCAACGACAGCGCGGTAACGCAAGCCTATTCCTTCTTTCTAACTTATCTTTGTTAAATTGTTAGTTTATTATAAAAATAATCTATTGCATCACATAGTGGTGATTGTGAGTACTACGCGAATGTAAGTCGTGATCTTATTCATAATATTAAACTTAATCTCGTATCAGATTGGCAAAAGCAATGGGAAACCTACAAATATCAATATTCTAAAATAAATCCTAGTGTCTTTATCAAACCTTGGTTTTATAAGTTCAAAAAATTCAACAAGCAAATAACTAGTGTACTTATCAGGCTTCGATTGGGTCACTTTTGTCGTCAACAAATCGTTCGTCGTTTCAAATAAACTGAGCAAAGAGATCTTACAAAATTGGGCAAAACAAAACATATTTCAAAATGAATCATTTTCAAAATAACGTCGTCAAAGGACGCTAAACGCGTTAATATGCATAGTTAAATTAAAAAGTTTACGTAGATCTTTGCCAGAAAACGTCCATCAAAGTGTTTGAATATTATAACAACCAAACAGAACGCGGTTATATAAAAAATATGCAAGTAAATAATTTGATTATGTATAATTAATTTAAATACCTTCGAGTTATTTTAAGTATATTATTACCCAATGCAGAGCAAAGACCTCTTAACTCTCTATTATGCACGTAACAATGAATTTAACTTAAATTATGCGTATTATTACTATTCTATTTTAGTAATTTCTTCTTCTTCTCAGTCGTCCACTCCTGGCGGAGTGGTCGTGGTTACGTAAGTCTTAATGTTTGGTTGCGGCTTTTGAGAGACTTCTCCATCTTTCTCTATTTGTGAATTGAATTTTTTAATAATTTTTTAAGTTATCTACGAAGTGTTCCCTTACTGAGTGTACACGTACCGCCACAAATAGAGAAATTTTGGTAATATTAATTAGATAAATATGGTGTTTTCTCTGCTTTTCGCGAGTCGTATTAAATAAATTAGGTACAATTTCTTTTACGGTTTTATCTCGCGTTTCTATTGTCATTATATTGTATTACCTATATTATTGAATACTGTACTGTATTAATATAATGACGACGGTCACTGGTTTTAATGACACGCATATTCAATGTAATCACTTAATGTGATAAATTAATGAAAATCACAATTTAGCAGCAAGTTATAAGATTTAAAATCAATTCTTTAGTGTCGTGACAAAAAAAAAATCAGTCAATTGTAACGATTGGATTGTTACGTAGGCTTATTGCGTAAAGTATTTTAATGTATTCATAGTTCATATGGGCCGATAAACGATAGCATACCTGAGATATTTTGTTGAAAAACCACTATAAAAGTCATTCAAAAAAATTCATATCCAACAGTTCGTATTTGCAAACTAAGCGTCTGCCAAATCGAAGTTATTAAATCAAATGTAAGTACTAGTTTATTATTTTTATTATTTAAGTTTGTCTTCTCCGTAGAATGAATAAATATAAACTGCAAATGTGTGCAGAATCTTCTCGTTACATATTATTTCAATCTAAATGATCTTCATGATTATAATGTTTCCTTATGTTAATCAGAAGATCCTCGAGCTACTTTCTACTCATTCACCCCGTTCACACCATTAAGAATTTCATTATATGTATTTATGTACTATTCAAATTCCCAGCCTGACAGGCTACTACTACCGCATTAATTGACATTAGCGTGCCGCGTATTTTGCCGTGAAGAAAGGATGCTATGGAATTATTATAATTATATAGTATTACCTAATAATACCCAATAATACTATAGGTAATAATAATAATAATAATCTCAACCACTGGAGTTGTCCCAAACTACATCCACAACAGCTTAAAGCTTCTAGATTTAAAAGATAACATATTTATTTCACTACAAAAAACAGATATACTAAATACATGCAGAATAGTGAGAAAGTTCCTGCAGCTTGAAGAAGACACGTAATAAAAACTCATAGCTACTGTATGTTACTTGGCCAAAAGCCCGTATATACAGTTCTGCCGGCTCTGTCGACAGACTGGGCTGAGAAAGGGGAAACCTATAATAATAAATAATAATAACAATACCTATAGTATTACCTAAGCTATCGAGACTTCGACCTCATGTCTCAACGTGAGCCGCAACATTTGATTGTGCTCGTGCTGCCCATCTACGCTGATAAAAATCCAGTCGGTAGGTAGGTAGGTATGCGTTCAGAATTTTTTGTGATCTGTGAGCTGTGACTGTGGCCACGGAGTTTAGCGTCCAATTCCAGCTCCAGCCAGTCCGCCGACACGCGTCGGGCGGAGAACGCGTATTCCAATTTCGAATTCGAAAATAACATATCGAATATTATTACGATAAGCGCGCCAAGATCTTGTTGGAAACTGTTTTATTTTATTTTGTGCATTAAATTTTTTTTTAGTATTCGGAATCGTTAAAAAAACAAATAAATATCGCGGGTGACTAGATTCGAATAGTAAAATTGAGATTCAATTAATTCTCACTAGCGAGGAAAGTTTTATTAAACGTAAGTAAATATTTTCTAAATAATTCTGATGTGTTTCTTACAATAATAATTTAAATAAATTAGAACTATGTAAACAGCCTTTGCCAAAAAATTAAGATTAAGATTTTAAATTGTCTAAATCCACGATTAAAATAGTATGAAACATGAATGATACTAGGTAAATTTATATTTTGAAAATTAAACCACAGATAAGTATAACTATATAATAATAATGCTTTTTAGTAAAATATTTATTACGGCGATTGGAATGATTTAGTGTAATTAATATATGGGAGATATTTAGAATTTTTTAAGGACATACACACTGGTCGTAAGAGAACTATTCCCTAAGCCAAAACAGTTATACTATAGTACTAATTCAACTTAATATGTACTCAAAAAAATATTAATTTAGGAAAATAGTTATGTCAGGATTATCATAGTTCTAGATGAGTTGGCGAATTCAAATAAACGAATTATTTTGGTATTAGAATTTGATTTTCAACTTTGTATTTTCACCATATTATTGTTTTTGAATTTTTTTCATTAACTAAATATTTTATATCAATTCCTCACGCCGTATTTGTTGATTTGCTCGTGGTATGAGTGCCCACTGTAACTCTTGCGTAGCCAGTATCGTTAACGGTCTCCACACCACAAGACCGTACTTCGATAATGCGTTATGAAAATCGTCTTATCGTGGCCGCCGCTGAGTATTCTTTTTTTTATTGCTTAGATGCGTGGACGAGCTCACAGCCCACCTGATGTTAAGTGGTTACTGGAGCCCATAAACATTACAACGTAAATGCACCACCCACCTTGAGATATAAGTTATAAAGTCTCAGTATAGTTACAACGGCTGCCCCACCCTTCAAGCCGAAATGCATTACTGCTTCACGGCAGAAACAGGCAGGGTGATGGTACCTACCCGTGCGGACTCACAAGAGGTCTTACCACCAGTGAAAAAATATTCTCTGAATCCGGCTCACGCTGGAGCCATTTACCGTCGATGTCCTAGACACGTCCTTACAAATCCATCCGATCCACTAACACAATTATTTGACGCCTTCATCTCTTAACACTAGAAGCGAACAGAGAGACTCTGAAAACCGTATTCGGCGAACTCGTCGAGGGGTTCGACTTGAAACTTAACCCATACATCCGCCCCCTCGGTTTGACTGTTCCACCATCTCAATCAAACCGAATTAACCTCTCCCACTATTTAATATTACATAAAACTAAATTATAAATTAGTAAAAACAGACCGCTGTAAATAAATAAGAAATATTTTATTAAATACCCGTCCTGCGTCGACATCTGTTTCAATAAATTTGATAACGCGTGAGAAATTCTAGATACCTATACAATCATTATTGTTTATTTATGAGATTCGTTATTTATTGTATGAAGCTTCAAATGAACCAGAAATACAATTTATTAGACTTTATACATAACATTGATAACAATAATTTGAAATGCATTCGCGAGCAATGTTACAAGCTATTTGTGTTTTATACTAACTAGATGATGACCATCTTGTTGTGTCTTTGAAGCGGTTAGTTGCCCTCAATTAAGAGAAATAGTATTATTATTCGCCAATAGATGTCGGGAATAGTTGATTATTGTAAACACGAATAAAACAACATTTTCTGAAAATAAATCGTAGCTAGATCGATTTATCGCCCCCGAAATCCCCTGTATACTAAATTTTATGAAAATCGTTGGAGCCGTTTCCGAGATTCAGAATATATAAGTATATATTAATATACAAGAATTGCTCGTTTAAAGGTATAAGATAAGATAATTAAATTAATAATTATCCATATTCTAATAATTAAAAACATACTAGCTGACTCAGCAGATGTCCTACCCTGAAACTGTGGCATCCTAATCGCAGCGACACTTGACGGGTTCATTTGTAAATCCAAAACAAACAGGAACCGTCTCAAACCACATACATAAAAATTAAACTGAATTCTTCCAGCAGAAACCGGCTTGAGTTGTCCTGCCCGATCATAAATGTTGACATTACAGGCAGAGTTGCGTCTTAACAGTATTTTATTGTTGCGAGACTTTTAAATCAGAATTTGTTTGTTATGAAAACACGCTACCGCAGCTCTGTCAAATAGTTCCTTATCTCACGTAATGACTATCAATTCTAAAACGTCAGAAGTCACCATTAATATGGCTATGATATAAAAAACCCTCCAAATTAACGACTTTTTCTGGATTATTTCTAAACTTTTCGTACATTGTCCTCGCATAAGTACACAACGAAAAAGTAATCAGACAAATAAATCTATTGAGGCGTTCTCAAGATCTCTGGCATAAATGTAACAATCGATTTTTTTAAAATACTGCATTCATGGGGTGTTTCTCAAGAAAAAGATAGAAGCCGGAAAAATAATGGTTTATGTAAAAAATAAGATAATTTTCCCGAGTGCTTCTATCCCGCAATTAATGAACATCATACAATATTGGCTTCATTTTAATAAAATAAAACTAAATTGAGAGTAGATGAAAGCGCCCAAAAACTTTTATGGAAATCAAATGCATTATAAGCCCAAAATTGCCTATAATAACATATACACATATAATAACAAAGACACGGTTCACTATATTGCAGACAAAAAAAAAAGCACTTTGTTTATTAAGTATTGTTGACCTGAACTAATTATCACTATGAAAACAACGGAAAGATTCGTTTCCCTAATTTCCAATTGACTTTAACATGATTATATCAATACTACATAGATCGATGACCCGCTCACAATGACCTTTGTCAGAACGAGTTTTGGATATCTGTTACGAAATTCTTAAATTCAAGGAGAAAAATATAATTGAATATATCCTATGAGAATAATCATGTTTTTAACATGAAAATATGCAGTGATGATTATTTTCATAACTTTCGAAGTAATGCGTGAAGATTGGTTGGTTCATGGTGTTTTTTTCACCCAATTTTTCCCTTGCTAAAAATGACTCTCTAAGAAGTATCTTATTTCTTCTACACCCACTATAATTTTGTGTAGATTCTTTTAGCTTAAGTTACAATAGTATTAGGTTATATACCATAAAGCTTCTCCTCTATATATGCTGTCACACCTGGTCGCGGACTCATATTCTTTATTATTTAAATTTCACTCTATCTTATTCTTGTTAGATTACAACGGCAAATGAGCAAGAGGTCGCAACCTCTGGCCATATCATTATGTAAACACATTGTTAACAAGAAGCCAATTGTGGCTATCGTGAACTCAACGTTCGGGACCTAATTCTGATATACAGAAAGTTGTTAGTGCCCATTAATTTATTCGATCCAGCGACATAGCATTTCAAAGAATATCTTGGTATCGCTGTAATAAAAGTGAGATACGAAGTTGGATTCGGGTACAGTATCTACTATTTTATAGGAGTGGTAATTATTATTACTTAATGCTATCTGCGCACGTTTATAATAAGTCACGGTGCTCACGACAGAGTATTTTATTATCCGCACGCTGTGGTAACGAATTATTGAAATTACATTTAATTATTAAAAAAATAATTTAGCGATAGATTCCGTCCACAATCCATGCTCAAATGGCTGTGCCGACAATATGTAGCTACCTATTTGTGTCTTTACTATTCCTTGGTATATATAATTAAGATTTATCATTTGCTGATAAAAACATTAGATTCACTCAGCAAGCTTATCTAATTTTTATATTTTATCATCAAAAACACAAATTTAAAGGATCAGAGTTGGATTACAGAAGGTTATGTGTTGGGTTATATGAAATATGAACGGACGGACACGATTAGAGCAACAAAATAATAATATATATTTGGTCGATAGAACATTATGAGGAATAAAAAGAGGGAGATGAGATTACATAATACGTATTGTTTCAATATCTTGATATAGCGTTTCCTGATTACGTTAAAAAGTTGCACAACCGATGCGACAATGTCTTCATCGGAAAATTTGTTACATAATAATTCAGCAAAAACTATTCATTTGCAACATTAAAAGATCGTTGGAGCTTACCCACGCTCCACTTGCGATTTTCTCGCAATACCCTGGATTGCGATCATAACATTTCGAAATCTTCACTCGCATTCAAAGTCTTCAGAACCATCAATTTTTTTTCTATCGCTCCTTTGTCGTCGTTTCCTAAATGAAGTTTAGATGAGGTCTTCAACGACTTCCACTACGATTGCTGTGTGATGAAGTAATGATTCTGTACTAAGATAAATGATTTTTAGAATGATCGGTAAGATATTGCTACAGGTACTTTGAAATACTTCATTTTGAAAGTTTGATACGAATATTTCCGCAAAACTCTTATGATAGAAGAAGTATTGAACATTAAAAAGCCATACAGGTTTGTAGTTTAAAATTAAATTTAAACACAGACGCCTAAAATTAGAAATAGCGATCCTTATGCATGTAGTGAGATTTAAAAATCTTTAAGCCCTATTCAATAACAAAAATCAAAAGAATGTGTTTACTTACGTAACGCGTTCTGAATAATACTTTTCTATCTGTATAAAGCTGACCATATTGGTATGCCCGACATTGTGGCTTAGAAACATGTATGAGTGACGTCCCATTGCATACGATAAAACAGACAGACTCATGGGAATACTAAGTTCAGCTTATTATGAAACCGCTACCCACATTATACAACAGAAAATTTACTATAAAATTGCACTGACGTTATGGAGACTACGTAAGAATAAGTGAGTTTTTGTATTTAAAACTTACAATTAGTTGCTTTTTTCGTCATAATTTAAAAATCTTGAACAACGAGGTATTTGTAGTATTTTATCAAAGAAAAATTAATTGTGTTGTTAAAGCAATTCTGAGTTCTGAGACGATAACTTATCACAAAACTGGTGTGTTGCAGAGCAATATAATTTGTTTACATTAAACTAGAACTTCTATTCGTTTGGTTCGTTTTTAATATTTGTAAAAAACAAATAAACAGGAAAACATCAATCCATGTAATCTATAATTCTATTGTAAATTATAATAA